ATACCATTATTGGGTATTTCAGCAGTATTTACCCAGTGTTTATCCTGTAAATCTTCGTGTCCATAGTTTACACCACTGTCAACAATTGAGATTATAATATCAGATGAACTCTGACTTACATCCCAGGCCGAATTGAATTTGTGGAAGGTAATAAAATTGTTTTTTATAGGGTCAACGGTCGTCTCGGTAGTGTAATAGAGATATCTCGGTTCAGCATACTCGATGCCTGGAAGTTTTGAAATTTTAGCAGCGAGTATCTTGGCATCGATTTGAGCATCAAAGCTAGCCATATAAATTTTTCTAAGCTCATCAGTTGCGATAGCAGGGACTAATTTACCTTTTGTCCGCATGTTGCCTTTGAAAGCAAGTTCTGCCTCAGCCGTAAAAACAGGGCGTGTTGTTTCAATGCCAAATTCATTGAAAATTGAAGACGAAGCTATAGACTTATTTTTGTATTCTGTCGCATCCTGTACAGTCTTAAACTTTATGATCAGGGTATTATCCAGGTACTGTTTATCAGTAGTTTGAGCCTGGATTGAAGCTGTTGTGATGAACAGTAGAAGAGTGAAAAGAGAAAAGAATAATTTCATATGAAAACTGCTAATTCAATTTCGATAAATAATTTATAAGTAATAATACAGTGGCACAAATTGAGTACCCAAATAATACAACAATAGCTATAAAAAGAATTGCCGCTATTGATTTAGGAACGAACTCCTTCCATGCAGTTATTGTGGACATTTTTTCAGACGGCAGTTTCAGGCAAATAGATGATCTAAAAGAAATGGTTGAATTGGCTAAAGGTGGGTTAGGTAAACGACTTGCAGAGCCAGCTTTTGAAAGAGGTATTGAAGCGCTTAGGAAGATTAAAGTATTGTCGGAAAGCTATGGGGCAGAACGGATTTTGGCGTACGCTACTAGTGCCATTCGAGAAGCTGAAAATGGTGGAGAGTTCATACAAAAGAGCATTGACGAATTAGGGATTAAGATCAACGCTATACCCGGTTCTATGGAAGCTGAATTAATCGGATATGCGGTGCAACATGGTATTCGGTTAGATGAAAAACCAGTATTAATGGTTGATATCGGAGGTGGTAGTGTTGAGTTTATACTTGGGAATAATGAAGAATTTTTCTTTCTGACGAGCAGAAAAATTGGCGTTTCAAGGATGACAGACATTTTTAAACCAAAAGATCCGATTACCAGTGAAGATATTGCGAATCTCAAAGCCCATTATGAAGAAGAGCTAAAGGAAGTAGAAAAGGCGTTATTTGAGAGGAGTACGGATACAATTATTGGCTCTTCAGGAACCATGCAGAACATCGCTCTTATGATAGCCGCACGGAAAAAGCTCCCGGTAAATATCACACTGAATGAGCTAGAATTTAGCGATAAAGACTTCTTCGAGTTCTATGAGGAATTCATCCTGTTAAATGAAGAAGAGAGAACAAAGATATCAGGGCTTGACTTAAAGCGGGTTGGATTTATTAATACAGGTGTAGTACTGGTAAATTTTTTGATCAGGAAGTTTGAAATTAAAAATGTTCGAATATCAGTTCAGGCATTGAGAGAAGGGATAATTATACGATATGCAAAGAAAGTGATGAAGGGACGTTCTCTTTCTGAACAGATTGCCGATCCTAGAAAAAGAAGCGTATTTGAATTACTTAGAAAATGCCAGTGGCATGAAACACATTCTGCTCATGTAGCAAGTCTAAGTTTGGTTCTTTTTGATGAATTGAAAATAGAACTAAATCTGGATGAAGAAGATCACGAGCTGTTAGAGTATGCTGCTTATATGCATGATATCGGATATTATATTGCCCACTCTGCCCATCACAAGCATGCTTTATATATTATTCGAAACGCTGAGTTGAAGGGCTTTCGTCAGGAGGAAATTGAAATTATGGCGAATGTGGCAAGATATCATAGACGCTCAACGCCAAAGCAAAGGCATTCCGAGTACTGGAAACTTAGTAAAGAGCTCAGGTCAAGAATTCGAAAGCTTTCAGGGATTTTAAGAGTAGCAGATGGCCTGGATCGAAGTCACTTCCAGAATGTTCAAAAGCTATCAGTAGAGTCTAAGAGCAACGAACTTATTCTAAGTATAGAAACCATAGATGAACCCCATCTGGAAATATGGGGTGCAATGAGGAAATCCCACCCGCGTTGTCCCAAATCCGGATAACCCCAATGGAAATGATCATTCCAAGCTATCTTGCTGTTGGCAAATCTCAGTTGCAAGGGCTGAGAAGACCAAGAGCTTGTTTGTAGACGTGTGCGTTTTGCATGCTTGACGGCCAGCAAAGAAACACACACACACACCATTGAACATGCAATTGCTTCAGGTTGTTGAGCACAGCATTTTGCACATGTTCAAAACACAGTTGGGCAAACATCCAACCACGTCGCGAGTTTGAAGTAGCGGGTGGCACCTTAGGACCAGGAGAAGTTCCCATAGTTGCAGGAATTTCGAACAAACGGGCAAAAGGTGCTCATGCATGCTGGTGTTTTCTTAGTCTCTCGGACGCCCGCGCCCAAAGCCCAAGGGACGTCTTCAGCCTCAGCAGTTTGACGCGCTGCCACCGGTGGCAGGCGCCTGGCGTACAGCCAGGCAGGAGACCTGGCGAATTTGGATTCTGTTCGGTTGGCCCATTCTGTTCGGTTGGCCTGAAATATCTCCAGACTTTGGGAAGTTGCTTGGTCCAGCCTGTATGGTGGTTTGGCATGCCACGTGATTCGTCTTGGTGTTTGAGCTGATTTGATTCCAGGGCCTGGCGGCTTGGATGCGGCGCAGCACCGCGCCCTGCTGCGAGCCCTAGCGTCCGGAGAAAGGATAAGCGCTGGAAGTGCGTGAATCGGCGGTCGGGGGGCTCACTCCGTCCATCCCAGGTTCAGGTGGATGCCGGCGGTGGGAGGGGGGTGTTCCTTGAAAAGTAAGGGATTGTTAATCCTTTCGTTCCAATGGCGAGGGAGTGGCTTGAAGCATCACCTTTTTGGCAGCTGATTGTGAGCGGCTTGTCGTTTTGGTGGGGTGATGCTTGAGGATAAGCATATTGTAGGACGCCGACGCACCTGTCGAAACGTGATCCCACGAGAAAGCAGGAGATTCTCGACTTTCCTGCTGTTGGGCGTGGCCTGGGGCACAGAGTATTTCTACGCTTCACCAAAACGGGAACTGCAAGCGGACAGAACCTGATCAAACTCTTCCAGGCAACGTATTTCACACCGCAGCAGACTTGGCAGTCCATAGCCAAATTCACATAAACATCGTGAACCAGTAGCTTTGCTTGGAGTTTGCGTTTTGGATCTGGCTTTTCGATCCGCTATGCGTGTTAGGGGGTTAATTGGCTTCGAATTGCAGGGGGGGTCACCAACCCTTTGCGAGCTTGTCAAGCCTTGTTTGTTGAACAGTGTGCAGTGAGAAGTTGCGATTCCTGGCTATGTAGTTTCGCTTTAACGATTCTGAGGAGCACCGCACTACACTAGTAGGTATCGCGAGTGTTGCAGTGTTGCATATAGTTAATATTTTATCGGAAGCAGCTAGCCGCCGGTAAAACTGACATCCCTTCCGTTGAATTGATCATTGCTAACCTGTGCATTCTCATCGGATGTGTGTCAAGGGCATAAATTGAGCCTCTCCCCTGCGTCGCGACCACTGCTTGCTCAGATTCACGCGCACAGCAAGCTCAACAGCACGGCTCATAGGTGAAAGATGAAGGAGAGACCGTGTTGCCTTGGTCCCCAAAGTCAAAATACCGCAGCCTTTGGAAGCACGGCAATTGCAATCACTTCACGGTGTGGCGCTCCATTCTCGGCAAGCCTAAAATATTGATGTATGGCGTGAGAAAGGTCTGAAGTTCCCCAGCAAATTTGAGCGTAAACCTCCTGCACTTTTGCCTGAATGGAAATCAAAAGGCAACGCCTTCCATCAATGATCTTCAACATGTTGAGGTTACCTCGGTTTACCGATTGCATTTTAGGAGCAACCCCCTCCCAATTTTCTGCTGAAGACGACTGCGGCGCGGAATCCTCTTTCAGATTTCGCTGGCCGCGCCGCAGAGAGGAGCAGAGGCTTGGGTCCAAACGAGGGCTCTTTGGTTGACTGTTCCCAAGGCTTCCGTGTTCTGCTCATTTTTTGCGGCTGCAACGATTTCGTGACATACCAGGGGTTGCGACAAACCGGGTCACCCAGTTTCGAAGGAAAGCTCGCGAGGGTGTGGCGATTTTGGATTTTACCCGTTTTTGCTGGCTGAAATGAGACCCTTGGAAATACCAAGCGTCGATCTTTAGGTGCAGCTGTTTGTGCCATGCTCCGTGACTAGTCTGATCTCTTCTCTGAGGGATTTGAGAACGGGTGCGGGTCTCAAAGAGGCCAATGACCCAAGCAAGGGTGTATTCCAATGGTTTGATTGCTTTACCTTGCCTTGCTCAAACAGACTCGACCCTCCTTTGCAGGCTTCCCTTGAGACAATTTGCTCTGGTTCGCCTTTTTGGCATGTTTTGCCTGGATATGCTTCTCGTGAGTAGCGCGATGCTGACTTGGGATGCCCATTGTTTCCCAGTTCGCGCCTCCGCGGATGTTGAGGCAAATTTTTACCGTGACGGCCAAACAAAGGGATTCGCAGCGTGCCAGCATGGTGCCATGGCCAAGAAGCAGCTTGCGCCAAGAACTTGTCAACTCATACCCCCCGATTCCCAGCAATGGAAGCTAGTCGGAGGTTCCTTGGAAGACAGCTGATCTTCACAAAGGTAGTGAGTTTATTTCTATCATTTGGCTAGCGATGAGCAAAGGAGCAGGACGCCGACGGCCATTTCCTTACCACAAGCCAACCAGAACCAAAGCAAGGCTGATTGGGATAGGGTGTCCTCTTTTCCCCCTTCTTGGAACCTCCAAAAGTGGCAGTTTCAATGGCCACCAGGACAAATGCAACCTGCGAAGGGAAATCCAGTGACCCTCAGAGGTTTCCAAACACCATGTTGGAGAGAGAGCTCTTCAGGCGCCCTTCAATGGCGCCATATCCGGCACGCTTGAACGCCGGTCAAGTGCTGGCAGGGGGTCACGAGGAAAGTTTCGGAGCAGCGGGCGCCTGCAACGGAAAAGGGAGACTATACTGTGAAGTCGTAGTCGAAAAAGGGAGCCTGGCTGTGTTTTTTTCAAAGGTGGCCATGTCCCTTCTTGGACACTGTAATGTTGGACCCGCTTTGCACGCCCCTCCCCCCCGAACAGCGGAATCAGTCAGCTGGACCCTCTTTAGTGAAAATTTTGGGGGGCCTGGGAGGGACAGTACTTACTTTAGCATTGACAATTCTACTTTAGTATTGCCAAGGCTCTCAGATTCCCAGTACTTACGTTAGTATTGCCATTCTACTTTAGTATTGCCAAGGCTGACTCCCAGATCCCAGTACTTCCTTTAGCATTGCCAATTCTACTGTAGTATTTCCAAGTTTTTTTCTCAGCTATCCCGAAAATGCAGTTGGACACTAAAGGGAACCCACAACAGTCACATTAAAGAGGATCAGGGCCTCTTCTGGGCAACCCCCTTTGTGTGACTGTTTGCCCGTACTTTTGTGTAAAGACGTTATCTTCTACTATTTGCCCGGAGTTGTTTGCCTGAGCCCGCGCAGATCCAGAAAGTACAAAAGGAAGCTTTGCGTTTTTCCCGAAAGCGCTATCAAAGGGTGGTTTGGAAAAAAAGGGTTGCTCTGTTGCACCACTTGACATTGTCAGCTTGACGTTCTCAGTATGACGGTCTCAGCTTGACATTCTCAGCTTGACATGCTCAGCTTATGGCCATAGCTTACGCCGCCTGACTTGCGCTTAGCTTACGCAGCCTTAGCCTACGCAGCCTGGCCTAGCTTACACAGCCTGACTCACGCGGCCTAGCTTACGCAGCCTGACTCACGCAGCCTAGCTTAAAAAGGCTGACTGAAGCGGCCTAGCTTACGCAGCCTGACTCACGCAGCCTGACTGAAGCAGCCTAGCTTACGCAGCCGGACTGAAGCAGCCTAGCTTACGCAGCCGGACTTAAGCAGCCTAGCTTACGCAGCCAGACGTACGCAGCCTAGCTTACGCAGCCTAGCTCACAGCCTCGCCTACGCAGCTTAGCTTACGCAGCCTAGCTCACACAGCCTTCAATTCTATCTTCTTTCTTAGCCGGGGAAGGGTCTGGCGGGCATTTGCGGGATGAACCCTCTGCGGGGATCGCGCGTGTCGGAGCGCTCCCGCTGCGGCGCCGATCGAATTTGAAAGCTCGCCGACGAACCCTCTGCGGAGCGCCGTTCGAATTTGAAAGCTCGCCAACGAACCCTCTGCGGGGATCGTGCGTGTCGGAGCGCTCTCGTTGTGGCGCCGTTCGATTTTGAAACCTCGCCGACGAACCTGTGCGGGGATCGTGTGTCGGAGCGCTCTCGTTGTGGCGCAGTTCGAATTTGAAAGCTCGCCGCCGAACCCTCTGCGTGGATCATGCGTGTCGGAGCGCTCTCGCTGCATGGCGCCGTTCGAATTTGAACGCTGGCCGGCGAACCCTCTGCGGGGATCGTGCGTGTCGGAGCGCTCTCACTGTGGCGCCGTTTGAATTTCAGCTTCGCCGACGAACACTCTGCGGGGAAACGCCGTGGAAGCGGGCTCGAAAGTTTGCCTCGTGGCTTGCGCGCTGTCTCTTGGAAGCCAGCGGCCTCGGGCTCGAGTCTCCCCTGGTCCGGCTGATCCTCGTATAGCACAGAGCCCACTTACGCATAGCAGCTTGCATAGGACCACTTGCGCAGAGCAACTTGCGCATAGCAACTGGTCCGGTATCTGTTCGCGCGCTTTGCTGCGTAGCGCTGCGCTGCTTTGCATAGCTTTAGCTTCGCACCTATGCGCAGTTTTGCTTTGAAAGTAAGTTACACCTCAGTGCGTTGGATCATGAGCTAATGCTGGGATGCGGCTGATGCGTGCTAAAACTGGGCTGCGTCATTCAATGGTTGAGAAGAGTAGCTCTTGCACGCACATAAACAAGTTCGCCAGAGCGCAGCACTTGTCAGCTACATCGGCCATGGCTTTTTGCGGATGCTTTTTTGGCGCAGATGCGTGCTTATGTCCTGCAACAGCCGCGGCACGCGCTGCAGACTTTGTGAGGCGTCAGCACAAGTCTGCCTTCGAGCGCTGCTTCGGTCGATGTGGCCAGGGCTGCTGGTGTGTCAGTGGGATCTTCGTCCGGAGGACTCACAAAGCCAGCTCTGGTCGAGGCCTCGGTGAGCACTTTGTAGCCAGCTCTGGTCGAGGCCTTGGTGAGCACTTTGTCTCCACCGGCTTCAGCGTCTGCATCGAGCTCAGCCCCAAGCGCTGCAGATGTGTTCCTGGCGCGGCTCCGCAGCACGGCGCAGCAGCAGCCGGGCGATGGAGCGGCCTCTGCGCGTGAGAAGTTGGAGAGGCCCAAGGCCAGGGGCAAAAGATTTTGTGTCTACAATTCAATCGCATGTTTACACACTGTGTTTCTTAGCTTGAATCATTCACGTTTGCCTGAGGTGAAAGCTGCTTCAGACACTGGCCCCGTCCTGGTCGATGTGGGCAGGGCTGCCGGTGTGTCAGTGGGATCTTTGTCCGGAGGACTCACGAAGCCAGCTCTGGTCGAGGCCTTGGTCAGCGCCTTGTCTCCACCGGCTTCAGCGTCTGCAGCGAGCTCAGCCCCAAGCCCTGCAGATGCGTTCCTGGCGCGGCTCTGCAGCACGGCGATGGGGCGGCCACTGTGCGTGAGAAGTTGGAGCGGCTCAAGGCCAGGGGCAAAACATTTTGCGTGTACAATTCAATCGCGTGTTTACACAATATGTTTCTCTGCTACCGCATGTTGCCGCGTGATTGAAACATTCAGCCTTGCAGCAGCTCTTTTCATGCAAGGGTTGCACAAGTGAAGCCACGGCTCTGGCGGGTAGAAACGAGCCGAGCTGGGGAGCTGTGCTTTTCATCCTGTTTGCCCTGGGCAGCCTGCGGCACGGCCACTGGCTGCTTGCGCAAGCTTCTGATCTTGCACCTGGCGCGCCGCGCTTCAAAGACCGCGGTGCACCAAAGGAGAATAGAGGGAGGGCCCGCGGTGCTGTAAAACACTTTCAAAATTATCGGGGTCTAGTTTGATGTTCTATTGTTTTTTTTTTGGGGGGGGGCACAAACAACTTTCCACAATAGAGGACCCCTCAAGGGCCACAGGATCCTGAATTAGAAAACAAGTTTCTACAATAGAGGGTACTATTCCTAAAGGAGGTCCAACATGAACACTTTGTACATTTCGCTTGGGGGAAGAGCGTGCCGCTTATGGGAATCCTTCGTTAGATGGGCCGAGAGCAATGCAATCTCAACATTTCAGAGGCTCATTGAATTCAGGGGCCCCTGCTTGGCCAGATCCTACCATTCTTGAATTTGGAGTTGTTGTGACCTTGGGTAATGCAGACTTTGGTGGAGACAGCTGCCAGGTGCAAGAGCAGCTGACGAATGTCCAGCACATCCAAACAACTGCGAACGGTGCTTTTGCTGCCACACTTGAATCTGGGGCTGTTATGACCTGGAGTGATCCCGACTTTGGCCGAGAGAGCAGCCAAGTGCGAGAGCAAACGCTGTCGTAAAAGGGGTGTCCCAGCTCTGGAGGGTGAACCACAAGCGGGCTGAAAGAAGGGCAACTCGTGCACTTCACAATCAGATTTGGCATTCAAAGTGGTGGGTAGTGTTGGGGTATTAGGGGGTCAACAGCAGCCAAGTGCATGAACTAGAATATTTCCAGGGTTGGCATATTTCAGCTAGGTGTTCTTTGGAATGCCAGTTCCCTTTTTGGGCACCTCATACACTTTCCTCGGTTTCAGAGTGTCCTGCCTAGGGGAATGGGTCAGGCTACTCAGGTTGGCAGTGGGTTTTACAATCGGATGTGAATCGGCTTTGTGAATCTTACGGCTGCCAGGCATTCTTGGAGTCCATCAAATTCCGAAAGCGTAGGACATCAGATTTGAGTCGACTATCTTTGATCCAAAGCTATCCAAACAACATGTACTAAATTAGGTCGTCAAGTTTTGGATTGCTTCTAGGGCTTGCGTGCCAGGGACGACGAGCTCTTTGAGGCCGTGCCGGCCCTCGCTGGCCTTCCACAGAACTCTGGAGACCATTCCTTCCAAAAGATATCCTTTAAAAAAAGGAACAATAAATCTAGGTTTTTGCAGGGTTCCCCTACTAAAAAAGGGGCACCCTTATTCTAACCTCTCCAATGAAGGACCTAGAAAACATATGTTGGACCCTGTGGGTTCCATGCTGCGTTGGTGAAGGGATGACTGGGGCAGGAAAGAGGGGGGCCTCTGATTATTGGTGGTCTTCCAGAAGATGGCCCGTGCAAAAAGAGTCCCCTGAAGTAAACATTTGATGGGCTCTCAAAATGGCTGTGGGTCAAAACCAATGGGATCGCATTTTGGGGTAGGTGCACCACCCGTTTTAGTTTATTTTAGTGGGGATTTTGATGTTCACGGGGTGTACGGGATTTTGACCATGGCCAAATTACAATTGGGTGTGGTTGCACTAACATCCACCATCTAGAGCGAAATTTTGTGGATGTCACTTTAAGCACAGCTTTAGCTCGGCGGTCTGATTGGAGGGTGCTCAGCTGTCAAGTGGAAAGTAGACAGTTTCGAGAGTGGTTTCGCCATGGCTTTTTGAGGCCTTGTGTTGGGTGCATCTTGCACAGAAATGCTTGGACCCCTCCTCAAACAGGCCCCCAGAATTTCCTCGTTTGAGCCAGCCGTTGGTTTAAGCATCTTTGGGGCCAATGCGCTATGAGTTGGCTGTTGGTGGGTTAATGTTAAGCCCTTGTTTTCAGTTTTGTTCGAAGAAGCTAAGCCTTTTTCTTTCTCAGGAAACATGCGGAACCTCGTTGAACCAGCCCGCTTTGAAGCAGCCCCCTCTTTTTAATTATTCGCAGGCAGCGCCGGCTGGACAGAAGGACCCGCGGGCGAAGCATGACACTTCACGCATGTTTATGTTCTGATTGTCCGTGTGTTTGTGGTCGTGTCTGTGTTGTTGGTGTTCGTGATCGGGTTTATGTATGGTGTTTGTGTGCTGGCGTGTTTTCTTTTGTGTGTGTGTATGTGTTTGCGCGTGTTTGTGTTTGTGTGCTTGCGAGTTTGTGTGGTTGTGCAGCGGTTGTGCAGTTGTGCGGTTTTGTGTTTGCGTTGGTGTGTGCGGTTGTTCTTGGTGCATGTTGCGTTTAGAGCTTTCATCCCATCGCTTGGTTGTGTAGTGGAGGGCCCAACATGTTTGCCATCATCCGAAGTATCTCTGAACAGACTTGCCAGGATCCATTTGTTTTGTACATGTTCATGTTTGAACCTGATGATTTCTTGCCCTGAGGCACTCTTTTTGGCGTTGTCCAGAAACTGTTTGAATCCATCCATCTGATTTCCGTGGTTGTTGGCAAGCTGCTTTTGGATGTTGAGTTGGTGGCTTGGCAGGTCCATGCTCACATGCATATTCAGGCGCGCGTTGGTCTGAGAAGCTTAGACGGGCGCGAGATGATTTCCCCCGCCAACACATGTCAAACTTGAAACATCGCAGTGTCATTTTGTGATGGTACCCTTCTTTGGCTGTGATAAAGGGAAACAAGAGGACAGCTACCATTTTGCGGGGAGGCTCACCTAAAAAAGGCACACCCACCTTTAAGGCCAATTCGAGTTGAGCGTTTTGGGCGGAGTGATGTTCCAGGAAATTATTTAGCCTGTGACTAGGAACCAGCCAAAAGTTGACCAGCCGGGCGCGTGGCAGCTTCCCGGATGATTTCTGCTCTCTATTAGCCACTTTGCCCGGAGCAATCTCCCCTAACCGAGGCGACGCAATGAACGTGTTTTGGGGCAAAGACCGAGGTTTCTTCCCAAGGCAAAGGAAAGGCCAAGGCTCGGGGTTAAGTAAGCTCGGGAGATTGGGACTCGATCGGCCCCTGCGCCCACGCCATGCATGTGGGCCCGCAAGGCGGGGCGGGGCTTGAATCCGAGCACTTCAATCACACGCCCCTTGAAGACCGAAAGGACATGTTTGTGCTTCTCACCACGTTTGCAGTGGCAGGTTGAAGCAGTTGCCCGTGCAAGAGGTTCGATGTTCAAGGAGAATCCGGTCAGTGACGCCTTTATGTCTCCTTCATGGCCTCCCTTTGAACCCTCGTCGCGTGCTCGGCGTGCAAGGTGGGCGTGCCGCCGGGATGGGCCTCCCAGGTGAAGGTGGTGGCGTTGAGCGTCTTCACCGCGGGCATCGGCTGGGCCATGCGCCCCGACCGGGGACTGGCCAAGCGCGCCGAAGTGTTTGGGGAGGATCGGCGGATGGGTTGGTTGCTTGCTTCCATTTGGTCACGAATATTCTTATTTGCCCCTGTGGGTTTGAAAGGGAATCTATCACTACTGGAAAGGTTTCTATTTTTTCCAGGGGTCTTCAAGGCTTTGTTTTTTGGAGGAGCTGAAGAGGTCGCTTCTGTGGCGAGATGTGTGATGGGCATCACTTGCTGGGACTTCGGACTTGTCTTGGCCCAGAACTGCTTTATGGGTGCATGCAAAAAACATTCAGAAATGGGCGCATTCAGTCAGTCTTTGTGTTTCTAAATGTGTACCGAACAAATACATATGTAGATGTGTGTGTGTGTGTGTGTCCCTGCAGGCGTGTTCAGGCTGATCGACACTTGCCAGCTTGAACCCAGATGGCAAAAGTCAAAGAGTGTGTCACTTATAGAGCGACAAGAAGGGGCTGCTGTCGCGAGTTTTGAAGCGGGGGTTGTACAGACTCAAACCACCGCCCACTACCCAAATGCTGGGCTGGAAGTTTTCTTCGAAGCCAGCACAGCCAGGAAATGCTGCAGAGAGGCAGCGAAGGCCACTATTCTGGACGGTCATTTGGCTAACTTCCGGTGTGCAAGCAAGAGCATGGGGAAACAACGGCTGCCCATCAGAAGGGCCCTTGAGGAAGATTGTCTTTTGGGCGCCTCTAGTCAGGCAGGGCGGTTAGGGGATGCTCGCGTTAGGGTTTCCATGTTAGTTGGTGGACAGCCACTTATGCAAGCAAATCGTATGGGAAAAATACGGTTGGGGGTGCTCCAAACAAATGATATTACCACAAACGGTGCCCATTGATGCTTCATTACTTCTGGTACTACCGCTTATTTGCCCATGTATCCCTTTCTTCTGTGGGTCTATGTGCTCATGTTCTTTCCTCCGGGGCCCGCGCCGACTAGTTCCGGGGTTGCCGTTTTATCAGGTTCTCCTTCATGGCGAACATGAGCATCGGCCAGCTGGAGCTGGGGCACCCGCGCAACGCCGGGACCGAGGCGGTGCAGTGCTTCCTCCCGACCAGGCGCCCGCTACGAACGCGAAGCGAGCTGTGCGTTTCAGGGCCCAAGGCTTGAGAGAAAGGGGATTCCATTCATTGGCACTACGTGGCGGTCCTCAGTCCTGAGGTTTTCTATTTGAGGGTGTGGGGTTTCCATTTAACCCACTGGGGATCTGAGGACACGGTTGAATTGAACACCTGTTGTGTTCTTGAGGTTGGATCCTGCCAAAACAGCTTCGACTGGCTTTGGCAACCAAAGTTGAAGCAGATCCTCCCTAAGAGTTGGAGCCCGGCAGCGCGGGAATGGCTCATGTGGCTCCAGGAAGGGAAAAGTGAATCGAAAGCCAGTTGTTAAACACTCCTCGCCGCTCTCATTGCTTGACGACGCCGTGCTTGTGTATGGTGTTCATTACAACAAATGCTGAGTACGAAATAAGGCCAAATAAGTAAGCGTGGCTTGAGTGTGGCTATCTCCTGGGTTGTCAAGCTTGGGATTCTACCGGCAAGCATGGATCTTGAAAAGGACACCATTGAGGGTATCACCGGGAGTACCATTGAAATCCCTTGAACTTTATGTGTCAATGTCTCTTCTTCGCGTCACCGCGTTGACGTGACAGGAATCAGCCACCCCAGATGCAGCGTGCTTTCAAAGCAAACTGCACTAATATGGGGTGCAATCCGTCCTTCTCCCAGGAGTCTCATTGAACGCCCGGTGCCATTCCACTCTTGTAGTTGAAATTTCTCGACGCTGGTTGTGCTTCCTGCGCCCTTTGAACAGCCCCACATTGGGGATAGGGGTGAGCTCACTTTGATTGTTCTCCAAGACCGGGTTTCACGTGCAGCATCAAATGTTTTGAAGAAGTCAAGTGCTTGAGCAGAAGCATGACTCAGTAGTCCAAGTCGGTTCGACCCGGGCTTGCCGTACTTGCAGAGGGCCCTCCTTGCACCCGGTCTCCAATGATCGTCAGGGAGACAGACCGGCACCTGCGGAAGCTGCTGCTGCGCCTGAGGCGAGCACGTTGCCACAGACGTTGGGGTCCCGCGCAAGATGTTTGCCCGGATCTGAGGGGAATCACCGGGATTCCCCTGAGAAAAAGTCACAGTTTAATGGTGGCTTCCATTGAAGCACTGACACTTTTGGAGGACCCAATGGAACTTGATGAGCCCCTGTGTCACGTGGTTTATTGGCGCGACTCTATCTGAACATTCGGCCGCCTGGGAGGCATCGAGAGAGAACTCCGGAGCTGGAGTGCCACGTGAAGAACATGGTGATGCTTGGCTCTACGCAACCCGCGGACTCCGCCTTTCTTTGTGCACTAACAAGCAGAGGTTTTTCTTTGTTCGGTGGGGTTCTCTTTGAATCCAACTTACAAACAGTGTCCTTTCTTTGGTGTTTTTTCATGCAACACCTTTGTTTGGGTTCGCAAGAATTAAACACAGACCACACAATTTCCAGCTTCTTTTTCGTGAGCTTCCTTTGGGCCGTCCCTCAAAAACAGGTGTCCCCTGTTAGTGGTCTTGGCTACCAGGAAAGAACGGGGTGTGGTTGTCCCACGGTCCTTTCCCTCCACGAACACGCAAGCCGACAGAAGATCCCTCCATGAAGAACTGTTTTGAGATCTTCGTTCGTTGTCATGTTAGGGCAGAAGGGTAGTCGTGATGCTCACAAACAGCTCGTTTTGCCAGCAACGGATGTTCCTGAGCCTTACAATTGTTTCTGTGGGTGCTTCTGCAAACTAGGTAGAACCCTCCAGACGGTCGCTTTGCTCCCAGTTATCCAAAGAAAGGTGTTCTATGGTTTTCCGATTTCGCGACAACCGGGTGTGGTGTACCCTCTGGGTTTTGGTTGCGGCCCATGTGAGCCCATAAGTTGCTGGGGCCGAGCGGGACCGGGTGGCGCCCGAGGAACAAAACCTGCAGCGACGTAGAAGTGCCAGTGGCCAGCATCAACGGCTTCTTGGCGAAGCTTGTCTCGGGGCTGGACAATGTGAACACTTTGGTTGCTTCTCGGGATTCTGCAAGTAGCCATGTCAGACCCAGGAGGTAGGCCACCGGCCGGACCGGAAAGGGCATCCCTTGGAAAGTGACGAAGCTTCTAATTACCTTTCCAGGTCGAACGCACGTTTTTGAGCTGTTTAAGATCATCGGGGCAGGCGCTTCCAACCTACCGATTTGGGTTGCTCATGCCAAGGCTGTTTTCAAGGAAGCCAAAAGGAAGCTACCGATTTTTGGGGCCCACCAGTGTCACAAACCCCCGATTTGAGAATTGTGTTCGCTACATGGGCTTACCCTTTGCAGATTTGAACGCGTTTCGCTTTTTTCGGCGGCATGAAAGTACACAGATGGCCGTGGCCAAGAATTGATTGACGAGCTCACCTAAAGACTTGAAGGCGAGGCACGACATGGTGGCATGACATACCATTGTAGGCAAGCTCGCACATGATGATGGCTCCCCAAATGTTTGTCTGAAAGTATTCCTATATTTGCATTGTGTATTTGCCCGGGGGGGGGGGAGGCTTCTTTATCTGTCATGCATTTCTTCCCTTAGATTACGAGGCTGCCTTGCATCGGTGTTTGAGATGGGTTGCGTCCCGCTGTTCCTCAAAATGTTTCAACTAGTAGGAGCTACGGCATGCATTCATGCTCAGTGCCCACCAAGCCGGGCATTCTAAACCAGTTGTCCCCTGCGCACGTGGCAATGGATGAAGTTGCCTTTCAGGAGCCTCCAGTCACGTTCCGTGTTCAATGGGACAATTGAAATAAGGTCGCATGCTAAGGTTTACAAACTTTGTTTGCGAGTGCGATGGATGCGGACTAAAGCGGAGATAGGTCATTGGGTGACGGTTCTGTGGGAGGATATGTGGTATGAACGCCCGTTGCTTTGGGGGTTCCGGTTTGTTTTCTCAGATGTGTGGGATTACCACCCGGCCAGCTCTGCTCTTACGGGTACAGGGTCCATGACCCTGATTCGACCCTGATTCACCCAATAAGCCTTGTAGTCAGTCCCAGCTGCGCGAAACCGATGTGATGCTTTCCATGAGCCTTGGGACCTGTAGAGGTTTGGCGATTCTTTTCGTATTTTTCCGGATCGGCCTTTTGAACAAGGTGGTTTTTCCAACGTGAAACCACGGGACGCCAAAGCCACAGGGGAAAGCCCGTGATTTTTTTGCCCTAAGCGAGAGATCCACCCGCCACTTCCGGTCCACTAGGCCACATGGTGCCCATGGCCGGCGGCGTTGACTGGCTCCGCTGGTGGGCCAAAGCGCCGCCGGAGGGGTGGGGTTGGGGCTTCCCGGCTTTTCCGCGGCTTTGATTTGTGGTTCCTTGGGCTTCTGGGATGTTTTTCTCTTGGTCTTCTTGGGTGTTCCTTGGGCTTCGGCTTTTGTTTGGTCTTCTATGGTTTCCTCTCTTTTCTTATGGTTTACTCCCTTTCGAATCCGGAAAGTGGCACGGCTGGTTTCCTATAGGCATCGATTGGGCAACGGAGTCTGCCTGTTGGAGTCGGGTTCAAAAGGAACATGTTCTGCCCTCCCGTAGTCCAAGCTGGGGATCCGGATTCTCCAGGGCTGGACACTGGGGCACATTCTTTTGAGATTGCCAGGGTCCAATCCAACTGTCAGCACAGTTCCCCCCCACCTTCCGCAAGACCAAGGTCTTGCAGAGCTTGATTGTCCTTTAAGTGATAAAGTCATCATTTGGATGGGAATCCCACTGTGGTACCACAGGAAGGGTGATGGTGATTTTCAAAACGGGCCCCACCATTTTTTGGGGTCCAGACTTCAGGACAACCCTGACAAGGGGACAGTGACCAGAGTTATAGTTGTACTAGGTGTTGTCATGTTCCAAGCTTCAGCCACAAGGGCAGCAGGGTTGGCATTGGGCCAACCACTTGTTTAAGCATGTTCAAAACACATTGGTTTGAACAACATCCTTTTGGCCTTCCCTTTGCAGCCTGGTTGTTTACGCAAAGTTTGCACCCCTTCCTCCCCCTCACAAGGATCTGTGGTGGGTTTTCCGGGCCACCAATACGAAGCCATCGCAGGTCTTCCTGGTGCTGTCGCTGCTTCTCCTGCTGGGCATCACCACCCATGACTTGGCCATGCTCAGCCTGGTGAAGCAAGAGTGCCTCGCATAGAAAATGCCCAGCCAGGTGGGTGTTCAGCCTGCAGCTATTCAGTCCCCCTAACACCATTAAAAGGGCATTTTTGAATTTTTCCAGACTTCCTACTTGACACCCAGGTGCTACTTTATAACAAAGTTCAGGATTGCTTGCAACCCTTGAAGAAGCCGCCCCCCCTTGATAATGACTCCCTTGAAGAAGCCCCCCGCCCTTGGGGGTTAGTTCTTGTTGAAACAATAATGGGGGATGGGGGGGAGGATTGTTGCTGGGGCTGCCGGGTTGTTGTTCTCCTGAAATGGACAAGATGGCCAGCCCCACACAACACCCCAGACCCCCAGACAGGTATTCAGAACCTCTCGAAATCCTTTGATTCCCGGAGCCTTGATAGATCTTGATAGGCTACTCAAGTGAGGATTTCCGTGCAAGGGAGATCATGGACTTTCGCAGCCTCCGCTGGCAATTCCCGGTGATCCGACGATCCTTTGCAGCTCGGATGAACGGCATCTTTAGGAGTTGCGTGGCATGATGAAGAGATCCTGCGCACGCGGACCCGGAGTCTCACGTGTTCATTTGACTGTCAGGCAGGCACGGGGCCGTCACTGCCATCACCTCATCTCGAACACATCCAGGGGGCGTCCCCTTGGATCATTCCATGGCAGGTACTGCAATAAGGGAAATCTCCAGTCATGGGGTCTGACAAGGCAAAGCGGTTCTTCGCAAGGTGGAGTGATGGGGGCTGGTCATGGTTGACGCCTTGTCGTGAGGCAATTCTCAAACTGCGTATCATTGCGGGCCCGTGCAATTGCGGGACAGGCCCGTTGCTTCAAAATGGTGCTGTGACTTGTTATTTGTTGCCGTCATTCGGCTTGCCATTCGCTTCCACAAACTCTCGAAAGCCTCAAATAAGGTCACTTCCCGCCTGCCAATCCCTCGCAAGTGATGGGTGATACGGCACGCCTCAGGGCAGCACTTGGCAACCGCACATTTGCGCAATTCAGATGTCTTAACCAAGAGTCACATGCCAATTTTTGCAGTGACCCTAAGCTGTAATCGCAATATGTGGGGGAAGCTTGTATAGTTGCCATTGTGTGTGTGTGCATGGGTATTTGCATTTTGCTCAGGATGCCCTGATTCTTGTATGCCAAACTTTTAACAACTGTTACACTGTTGTTGGCATGCTTCTCATGCGTTTGTTTTCTCCGGCTACCATGCCAAGGATTAAGCAGATGGTTCGAGCATTTGTCAAGGATGTGCCCTTTTGACCCAACGCTGAGGCGCTGCTTGCCGGGGTCAAAGTCATCCGCCAGCTCCTGCAGAAGAGCGGCCTGGGGCGCTGGGCGCAGCTGCTCTCGCGCCTAGGCGTGGGGAGCCGATTGCCGCTCGCAAGCGGTGCGTTTCAACCACATGGGCTGATTCCTGGCCTGAAGGGTGCAAGCAGTTCCCTTGGAGTTTGGATGTCCGGCTTTAAGGATGCAAGCAAGGTAAGCAAATAAGTAACATGTCGACACATGGGGCAAGGGGCATTCTTAAGGAAGTTTCAGACAACTTGACGCAGCATCATCCTGCACCTTATGCTGACTGATTGCGGCGAGATGCTCGTTCTGCAACGCGAGGGCCATACATGCCTGTACTGGACTTGAGATCAGGCTGAAGAAATGTGCTTCTTCGAGCAGTTGGCACATGGCACGGCAACTGTAGAACATGGCACGGCAACTGTAGAAACCAGCGCAGGTGAAGATCTGAACACAGGCACGCCCTTGTCAAGGTTTCTGTCAACAGCCCAACATGCCTGCACGCAAACATAAGCACACATCGTCACAAGCGGAAGCCATAACAGCACCACACATCATATGGACCCCGGCAAAAACGACCCTGCTTGAGTTTGGCCGGGGCTGTCGCATTCTGATCCTTCGCTTTGGGTTTCTCGAACTCTCCTTGTTGCCATGCTGCGCCGCGGACGGCTCCGCTTCGGCGGCTTGGGAGTCCGTTGGTTCAGCGGCCGCGTGGCGCGGCTGGGGCCCTCGAAGCCGTCCAGCTGCGTGGTGCTGCTGCACGGCCTGGGCGACACCGCGGAGGGCTGGCTGGGCGGGGCGTGCCTCGAGCAAAACAGCAGGGGTGAGGGGTGCCATTCGGCGGCTTGCCTTCTTCCATTTCGGATGAAGGGGTGGTGTTACATCTTTGATGCATCGCGTCGTTGGATATCTCAAATCTAATGGCAAGCCTTATGCGGATGGGGGTTCGATGGGGTTCCATTGCTTTGCCCCAATGTTAGACATTACTACGTAAACTTCAACCTCGGGGATCTTGGCCCTTGATATCAACCACCTGTGCTTGTCAGTTGGTTTTAGGTGCAGGTGCAGGAAGCTTTCCCCTGCTGCCATTCAAGCCTCGCAGCCTCTGCAAGACGAAATCGCGTTTCGGGCGCGTTCCATGTTTGGCCGGTGGTTTTGGCCTCGCTATTTCTGAAAAGAAAAACAAACAATCGCTGAATGTGGTAACCAGGAGCAGTCCAAACGGCGGGCCCAGTGCGGGCAACTTGTCCTTTTCCTGTTGTTAGGGTCATGCAAGTGCGCCCATCTAAACTGTTGCTTGGGGGCGACAAGTTCAATTTACAGAAGCTCCTGCAGACGGCCAGACTGGGCCTTTCAGATACATGTCGTTGGGGGAGGCTGGGTTATTCTAAGGTACGGTTTGGACAAGACTTTGTTGATCCTCCCTTTTGGGCTTCAAGTACGGGTACCAACAATAGACTTGTGGAAGAGTCCGCCAAAACGCATCCAAACCATTTTCCTGATCTGAAGATGGAGCCATCATGTTAAAAATCCCTTGTGCTGGATCCTGGCTTGGGCTCTGCCTCAAGGAGGGTCAAACCCAAAACATCACCATGTCAACACACCAAACTCCAACCGAAGGATCTAATTCAATTTGAAGATTCGAAGGCACCACTTAGCGGCCTCGTTGCCGGAGACGCGCTTCGTGTTGCCCACCGCCCCCACGCAGCCGGTGTCGCTCAATGGGGGCATGCCTATGCCCAGCTGCTCGCCTTGCCTTTGGTTCGCCTTGTTTCACGCCTGTATGGTTTGTTTCACAGATGCGGGTATGTCCCACAACCGTGTCTTTTTTTTCAGATGAACCTGAATCTTTGGTTTGGGATGATGGTTGGGGGGTTTGACCCCCTAAATATGGTGGGAGGGTAACTATACTGTAAATGGCAAATCACCTCGCAAACCATGCCCCTTGCTTTCGTTAAAAGCTTCTGAAAGCGGGCACCCTCGCCGAAAAGGCAACCCCATGTCCTGCTTGGTGCGAGCGGAGGTTGGTACGACATCCGCGGCCTCGGGGAGCGCAGCGACGAGCCCTGCGATGGCATCGAGGAGAGCCGCCAGCGGGCGCCGTGGATCACTGGCTCAGTGCTTTAGGAGGGCGCCGCTGAAAGCTGTTGAGTCTGAGTAGCCACAGCAGTGATTCAACAGTATCATTATACATATATATATATATATACGTGTATATATGTATATATATATATATACATACATACACATATACATTGACCTGTGTATGTGTATTCTTGTCCCAGTTCAACATCACCCGCCAAAGCGAGCTACACGTACAGATGACGAGAAAGATGATGGTTGGTCTGGCCAGACATGGACATATCAGGACTCCAGTCAGGGCGTGAGAGAATGCTTTTGGACGGAGCCTTGCCTCGTCTGTGCGCGCTAGATGCCAGGGACCCCAAAAAGATCCCCGCTACCATGCCAAGTGTGGAGACCTTATGGCTTGATTTGGCCTGGTTTATCAACCCATTGAACATCAAGGACTGGCTTTGGGATTTTCCTGGGAAGGAAAGGGAGCGTTATAGGGAATGTTGGGGTTTGAGGGGGAACGACCTCTCTGGCAACTGCATGTGAGGCTGGGAAGGGGGGAGAGGCAGGGGCTTTTTCGTTTTGTCTGTGGCGAATTGGACAATGCTGTCCCAGTGGCTTCATCATCCAAAACTCAAGCAATGGGTGCATAAATATTGTGAGTTGCCTACACTTGATCACTTGATGCGTTAGCTGACCGCTGGCTTGCCAAGCATAACAGCCTTTGGGGCTAACCAACCTGAAGTCACCTGTTTGGCAAGGTGACCGTCGTGTGGGAAATGGTGCCCCTGATTTCCTGATCCAGCTGACCGCTGAGGTGGAGCAGTTGATCCAGGATGAGCTGGATGCCGGGCTTGCGCCAGAGAAGATCGCGGCTTGGAGCAAGAGCCACGGAACGGAGACTTGTTCAGCGGCACCGTGCATGATTTTAACCCGTGGCTCGACCTCTAAAAATGGCTGCCCCCAAAAAGGCTTCGCATTTTCTAGCGTTCGGGTCACCATGGAGCGAGTGTGCCCGAAGCTTATCGATGTGGCTTTGCAGATTTCTTTGGTATCGGCTTTCGCCGGTCTTTTTGTCAATATTGTCCGTCTTCACATTTGCATGCTTCCCTCTTTAAGGAATCAACGGTATCTGTCACCATTTGCAAGCTTACGTGAAAGCAGCAAGCTACGCCTTTGTTTGGTTGGTCTGATTGCCTCAGAGCCAAGGAAGTGCTCGGGCAAATTAATGCTGGGTTGTTTTTAGTCCGTTTGGGTAGGCTCGACCCCTTCAAGCTTCAAATCTTGCATTTGCTTTTTCGGTCGCTGCAAGCCGTGGACGAATCTTAGAATCTTCGCGGCGGCGAGGAACTATGCCCCTTTTGGGCTGGAAACGGTGTGTCATGTTGCCAGCCATGGTGTGTTCGCTTGCCACCCTTCAGTTGTTGTTTTTTTTGGGGGGGGTTGAGGCTTGATACCATTTCCACTGCGGTTGTCAAGGGAAGCCAAGGGGCAACGGAAGCCCGGCTTGGGAGGGCGAAATTTTCTGTGTCGAAGCAGTTGCCATCCTTGTGGACACCCTATGTCCATCAAGGCTCTAGCTCCCTCGGTCCGCAGAAAACATCACCCTTGGGAAAGGCTAGTTTAACGGGATTTTCGCTAGGCCTTTGAGAGCGTCTTTTGAGATGGGTGATGAATCCGTGATCATGGGGTTCCTCGGATGAGCGGTCCCCCGGAGTCATGCAACGTTGATATTGACATTGACCACGATAGCTTCCTTTTGCTTCTGCCTAGTGGTTTCCTCCGGATATTGTTGCTGTGGACCCACTGGGATGTGAATCTAGGGCAGGGGCCCACCCGCCAAAAAACCGTTGCACCTTCTGGGTGGGGCCATTTGGCAGTTTTGCGGAGCTTGCTGGCTGCCGGGGCGCAAAATCATTACACATTGCTGCTGGGCGGGGCCATCAGGCAGTTGTGCAGTGCTTGCTGGATGCTGGTGCTGACTAAGAGCAGGCGATTAATTTTGAGCGCGGCAGCCTTGCGGTGTGCTGCGCCGCACGGTTCCTCTTTTTTTTATAGTTGCGCAACGCTTGCTGTCAGGCGACACCGGGAAACCGGTGTTGCTGTACAGAATGTAGAAATGATTAGAAATGTATTGAAAAGGAATGGAAAGCCGAAGAGCTTCAGGCAACAGCGATGTGTAACTATGAGACAAATTGAATCCCCATTTATTACCTCTGTAGTATTGTATGGAGGGGTGCCAGGGCCTAATCCGGGTTGTTTCAGGAATATGGATATCCGGGAAGTCCTGTAGGGAGGGGGCTTGGCCTACTTGTAGACTGAAAAACAACAATTCTCAATGAGGTGGGTGCAAAATGGATCTGACGCGTCTCTGGTCTGGGAGGTGGTGGGGGGGGGGCGCCGCCTCGGCTTTTTCGAAGGTCCTTGCTGGCTTCTCCCAGGGTGGCGCCCTCTCCTTGTACACGGGCCTGCGCCTGCCAATTCGCTTGGCGGGCGTGGTGTGCATCTCGGCCGCAAGGTTTTGGGGTGGATCCCTGTTTGGGGTTGGCTTTTACAGGGAAAGCGCAGGAATTCAACTAACCCCTATTTTCACCACACCCCTGTTGAACAAGCAAGGTGAGTTTTTTCCCAGCTTTAAAGGGAAGTGTACATCATTATTCATTTTGTGGGTGCACCTGTCGCACATGGAATGTTCTATGTTGGCTTGAGTTGACCGTTTGGCTCTTTCGGAAATGTTCCGTGGCAAGACTCGTATCTTTCCATTGCAACAAGCCGCGTTGCTCATGCCAGATTCATCTTGCTTGCACGACATTTGCATTTTGGGCGCCTTTTGAATGCAACCGTTTACCCTTGTTCAGGTTGCAGCCGCTTACCCGGCAGTTGCAAAATTACAATGGTTTCCCATTGTCTAGCTTGACTGACCGCTTAGCTTGTTGCCTTGCAACACTAGATGATGCAAGATGCACCACGGGACCATTTTTGCAGTCAAGCATGATTGGCATTTTGCAGTATTGGATCCTGACATGGCCGTTCGAGGCAGAGAGTTTGTGCGAGCAGACCCCAAAGAGGTGCATCACTTGCCTGTTCTCTGCACGGGGTACGGGACTAGTCCCCATCCTTTCCCTACAAGGACCCAGTTGTAGTTGGGAAGGGGGGTTCATGGCTCACTGAGAACAAGAAAGATCTAGAAAATTTTGATTAAACATATGATAAAGAAGAAAACCACGAAGAAGAAATGGAAATTGAACATTTAGGACAAAGAACCTCTTCAATGTTACTTGGATTGTAAACATTAAACATAATGTCCTCCACTAAAGCCATTCTATCAGAGATGGAACGGAGATAGTAAATTTGTAATTCCTGTAACTCCCCATGAATTCATTTGTCCATTCGGTAAAACACAACCCAGGAATGCTGTTTCAAGGGAGTTTACTGGTGCTTCCCTGCACGGATGTGGCCGTTTGCCAAGGTATGTCAGGGTATTTGCCCTTCACCCGCACCTTCGCAACCTCCCCAGAGGCGCACATGTGGCATGCTGGGACCGTGGTTGTTGGTTGGTTCGCAGGGTGGCCAAGAAATAAGAGGGTTGCGAAGCAAGGGTTTCAAGCATGCACGTAAACCAACCACAAACCAGGGAAATGTAAGGGGGGCTCCGTGCTCCTGATTCGGAAGCAGTGGAATCAGCTGTGTTGCTGCCATGTTCAAACCGCACTATTTTCAAGCAGTCTGGCTGCGGCTGCCTTGTTCCCAGTCGAGGCACTGTCTGCAAGTTTCACTGATTCCTTGATTCCTGGGCTCAAGGTTGGCAAATGAAAAAGCACGTAGGAGACTCCCTTGCCCTTCTGCAAGGGTCCGTAGGTTGTAAAAAATCCTCGCTTGAACATATGATGAGAGTCTCTGAGAGTTGCCGCGCTACATGCAGTTTGAGGTTGGTCAACCTTCTGGCCGCTGCAGTAACCTCTTTATCAACACCCCCTGACTTCATTCAACATGTATTGCCAGCAGCCTTTTGGACTTCTTTGGCTTTTGGCGGCACAAGAAGCAATGTTTGTCGTGGTGCGTTGCAGCCGTGATCAAAACAGCACGACTCGGTTCACCTTGTTTTAGAAGCCATGGCTAGCAAGTCACTTGATGATCAGTCGATGGGGATGGGGCTCAGGTCTAGCACATGAAAGTTGGTTGCTTGCTTCAAGAGAAAAAGTGACATGCCAGGGTCAGGTGACAGAAGTAGTAAGCTGAGATGCCTGCGCTGAATCCCAAACGAAAATCCGCGGTCTCTTCTTTCCGAAGCAAACGTGGACGTCGCAGGAATCTGCAAACCATCAGTCCCCGCTTCTTTCTTGCCCAAATTCCAAATCAATTTCTAAGTTATTCTCCTCAAAAAGCCTCTTGCCACCTCCCATGGGTCCCACTTAGCACCCCAAACAACTTCACTTTCCTTCGGTTGTGCCCAATGCGTCCATTCTTGGGTTTAAACATCACCTTATGGGCTGATGTTCATTGAGTTTCCTCTCAGGGCATTTAGAAACCCTGCCCCTTGAAAACACAATCCAAGACACATTCCAGTCCGGTCTAGTTGATCATGACCCATCTGCTTGGTTCCCTTTTTAGAGGCAAACGGCAAAGAGGTTGATTAAGCAACACCGGTTGATTGCTGTGGATTCGATTTCGAAGCAAGAGTGCTTGCACCTTGTTCAAGCCCGCTTAATTTTAGACGCTGATAAGAAGCTTGGTCAGATATTTCCAGTGAACAGTGGTGAGTTTCCGTTTGCTAGTTGGCGGTAGTGTGGAAATGTAGGGAGCCAGCCACGCAGACCATGGTAAATTGTCGGCTTTCTCTTGCTCCCCACCCCTGCAATATTTAGGGAATCACTACAGGCTGTATATGCCTCTGCTAAAAGGTGGCAGATACTGGCATAATCGTCACTTTGCCTCAACAAAGAACACCTTGACAAGAAAGGTGCTACCAAATAGCGACCCATTCTGAGGCAACCCGAGTCGCCGCATTGGACGTCGCAGGCGGCGCAGGTGCCGGTGCTCCACTGCCACGGCTCCGCCGACGGCGTGGTGCGCCTGGACTGGGCGGAGGCGGGCGCTGAGCGGTTGCGGCAGCTGGCGGTGCCGCTGGAGATGCGGCGGCTCGGTTTTGTCTCGGCTTGGGGTTGGTCTCATGGACGTTGGGACCCTCAAAATGGGAAGGGAAAAGGGAGGGTTCCCTTTGGCGCCATACGGGTTCCGCTTTTTTCTAATCCAAAAAGAGTGTTGTAACCCAACAAAGGCAACAACACCCCTTCTCAGGCCCTTTCACTTGACTCTTTCCGGGGGCTGCACAAACCTGCCTTGTTGGATATGCCCCGCCCCAAAATGCGGAAGAATTCCTTCCCAAGCTTAAAAGTATCAACCCTCAGAGATACCACCAAGTTTGACGCACAACGTGCCACTTGACTCTTTCCGGGCGCTGCACAGACCCGCCTTGTTTGACATGCCCGCCCCAAAATGGAGAAGTTTGGCGCACCATTAAAAAGGCTTGTGCTGTGGCAAGCGCAAAAGCATTCATGCAAAGCGTTTAGCAGTTGCCAATTGAACGGCAAAGTCTTAAGAGTTGAGTGAAGGTTGGAGGTGTAGCGTCTTCAAGGGGCTGTCAGTTCTTGCCACGCGATCCTGTCACTGACGAAAGCCCTCCGCGTCAAAGCCGAGGCTCTATGACATGGGCCACTCCGCATGCGAGGAGGAGCTTGACGACGTGGCAGAGTGGATCGCTGAGCGCGTGAAGTGAGAGGAAACAAAGGTCAGCGCTCGATTTCTTGGGCCAGGTTGGGCAGAGCCCCTACGTCTTGAAAGAACATGGATTCTGTTTTCCTTGTGTCCCCCTCGGTTCTTCAAGATGCTAGTCTTTTGATTCAGGCCGCCGGGTGGCAGCCGGGTTTCGAGCTTCAATTTGTACGATATGTGTTTTGTGCATGATTTGTATGGGCAGCAGCGGCCACTTGGCGGCGATGTGTGGTCTGATGGTCATGACCTGGCCTCCCTGGCAAGTGCCAAATCTGCACCGGTACACTCACAGCCGGAGGTGTGAGGTCAGAAACTGTATTCCATGTCTGGTTAGTCAGGTTGATTCATTCTTGTTGTAAGTGGGGATTGGGCGCAATGTCCTCCAACCAATCTTCTGGCAGCTCTAGGGAGGGTAGATGCTTTGTCGTGGCCATGGCCAGGCATGCCCTTCCTGGTGGTTTGGAATCTCTGCGTCTCGGCCGAGACGTGGGCGCAATATCCAAGATTGATAAATCCAAAGTTGAAGAATAAGAGGGTGTTTCATGCATCAACAAATCTGTCAACTTTTGGAGGGACCGTCCCCTTCTCAAGCTGCAAGCAATCAGCAACACTATATCATCTGGGAGCTGTGCCTCACAGGTGGGGTCGTTGGTTCTTGTGCTCCTTGGGCTCAAAGCATGCGCTCGCATTCCGGACCGTAGGCTTGTCTACTGTGGGTTCCGTTGGCGAGTAGCTCACGGGGCTTCTTGGATTCCTTGGTTTGTGCGGGTCCGCCTGGAGAGCGCCAGTCGCGCGTTGGGGTGATATTCAGCCTTTCACTTATTGAAAACACTCTTTTTTAATACTTTTTGTGTCCGTCGGTAGCGACAAGCTAAGACCAAAGGCAGCTTGTTGCAGGGGTCCCCTCCCAGGTGGTGGGGCATGGGTCGCTGACGGGTCGACGCCCGCCTTGCGCTGGCTTCAAAAGATTTGGCGCCATTTTTGTGCGGATCCCCTTGAGAAAGAGGAGGAATTGGAAGTGGTTTCTGTAGATTCGCCTTTGGAGCATCAATTCCCTTCCAAAAGCGGTGGAGTGTGTAGGTTTTTGGGCTTGATCTGAAGCTGTCCCAGGAGGATCTGGTATGCTTCTCGGTCTTCTCGCTCGAGTCGAGGCCTGGCTGTCTTCGTGCTGAGCCCACTTTGCGTGGCCTTGTTTCTACTGCACCCCATCCGCCTCTCCCGGGCGGCCGTTTTCGTGCAGAGCCTCGTGTGCTCCGTCTACAGCCCGGGGGCCCAAGACATGAAAAAGCGGCCGAGTTGGGGGCCATGCGGAAAAAAAACACGAAACACATCCCTGAGAAATGCTTCGCACGAAAATGGTTCGCACGAAAAGTGAATTCATGATGGACAAAAATGAGGACGCAAATCCCTGAGAAATTCCTTCTACGGCTTCTGGGCGGGGGGTCGGGGAGCGGCTCAGGCCTGTGCTTCCTGGTGCAGATCACCGTGTGGCCCCTTGGGCTGAAGTCTCGCTGCGGTGTTTCACGGGGGTCTTTGAACGAAGGATGCGAGGGAGGCCAACTTGTTGCCAGCCCCAAGCTCCTCAACCGCGAAGCCGCAAAATCATTTGAGCCACGGCCCTCTCCCCCCAATTCTTTAAATCCTTTGGGAACACCAGCCTGTGAGCCCCGATTCTCGGGCAAGAACACAATAGCCTCCCCCAAGTACCCCCAACTCCCACGCCCCTGCTTCTGAGAGGTTGCTACATCGGCACTGGCGGCCCTGGTATGCCCTCACCTGGTCCCACGCGGGCGTCATCTCAGATCGCAAGGCTTGGCGCTCGCGTGGCAGGGGAAGGGTTGGTGGGTCCGAGTTCGTGAATGAAACCTGAGGATATTGCGGGGGGGCAATTTGTTTTGCGAGGTTCTGAGAATTTCTTTTGGCTGCTGATGAAGCAAATCGTTGGTCCTGGGGACGTGCTGTTCCCTTTTAAATCACGTAACCAAAAAATTGGAGGCTTGCGCAAGCACCATTGGAGAAGCTTCGCTTAGGCTCCCCCCGCCCCGGCCACAGGCGAGATACAACAATCCAAGCCAAGCAGAGTCTGTGCAACCACCCCGGCTGTTCCTCAGGGTTTTTGTATCGGCCTGGGTTCTGCGCAGGTGGACTGCCTTTGCGGATGCGAGTACTCCGTGAGCAACCACGCCCTTTTCCAGCTGATGATGATGCCTGGGCAAAGACAAACACACCTATGTTGGGCAAAATGGGTTTCGACAAGGAGGCCACCCCCCCTTCAAGGGAGAACAACATGGGGTTGTTAAACAGTGGTTTGAGTTTGAACATGGACTGGCCCAACCCTGCAAACAAGCCCGGGTCGCGGCAAGCTTGTCGAAGCAACATCCAGGTCATAAACTTGAAAGCAAAAGTTTGCACCGCCAATGAAACCTGCCATTCAAACCCAGGCAGCTCACCATGGTTAAACTCATGATGACTTCTTAGTTTGCTCAGACCTTCTCCTCCTTCAGGCACAACTGTTGAGGAGAGGGCAAGTTCACCCCCGCACTAATCAGAAAGCTACGCAGAGCGCCAAGCGGGACCTCTTAGCGAAGAATGTTGAAGTATGCAGGGCAGCTCTTGCGGGTGAAGATGGCGACACCTGTGCACTCTTAGTAAAACCTGTCCAAGGTCTTTGAACAGGTACACCCGCATTGATCGCTCTTCTTCAGGGGCCGGCGTGGGTGCCCGCTGAAACTCAACCACCAAGATCTAGGACGTCCCATGTTCCAGGGGATCTTCAGGTATGGGTGTTCAATCCATGGATCTTATGACTTATGTACCGCTCACATCCGCTCACCGGATGATTGTATTTATACCTCCTTGCAACTGTCCATCGCGTGGCTCCAGCTGAGGATCGCCGTCACCTCACTCGCCAAGTCGCTGATGGTGGCCATGCGTTGCGTGAAAGGCGCCGGATGGGGGGCTGGGACAGGCCCCCGAATTTGCCGGGGAGAGTGGGGGAGAGAGAAAACACAATCGGGGTGGAGTGAGGATGACTAAAAGTATAGCATGCACTAGATAATGAATAAATGGATGGCTGGCTGGATGAGATAGTTAGGTAGATAGATAGACAAGCAGATCAATTGAGAGATAGATTGAATTGATAGATCGATTAGATAGATAGGTTGAGATAGAGACAGGTAGATAGACATAGATATTGACACAGATATATCCATGTAACATATCAACAATTTTACATATACTTATATGCATGCATACCATTTGTACAGATGTTTATACAGATGCGGATGTTAAGATGTGTAAGCATGTTGCTGTACAAGTGCTGGTGTAAAGATACTAAGCCAGATAAATCCACATGAGGTGACCTATGCGTCAGCTGGACGCCCTTCTCAGTTTCGGGGATTTGGCTCAACAAGTGCCACGCCCGCGCGCCCGAGTGTTCGCACGCTAATGCAGATGCACATCAATGTGCGCAATGTAGATACAGCAAGGCACATGACGATCGAGGTCAAACACCGGATTTTATTCCAATCCGGGTGTTTTGTGTCACCAGGGCTGGCCGGTCCCCCGCACGCCAACTCGGACCACCGCTTTGGGCCACGCCAACCCCAGGTCCCAAGGCTAACCGACCCCGAGCTGGAGCCATAGGTGCAGGCAGGCGGCCAATCCTTTAAAGCCAAAAGGCACGAACATGCACAAAGCAACTTGTGGACCCCCGATTTCATAAAAGGTTGCAGAATTATCATGTAAGACATTTTCCAAAGGGGCCCACTATCCGTGTCTGGGTGTTGCCGTCCTTCTCGACTCAACTGGCCCAGGGCTGCGTCGCTCGCAGTGGGCCAACCTGATCACTGTGCTCTTCAGCGCTTCTCGGCGCGTGGCTAGGCGGTTCCCAGGCTGGAGACTGACATGTGCCACAGGTTTAGCTTTCAGCCTGGGATTCACAAACCAAGGCGAATATGTGTTTGATGTTTGGGGCAGACGCTCAAGTTGTGTTGATCACGCTACAACATCAATCCTGAATCCGTACGCCAGATTGTAGTGGTTTCCTTTGTGGTAGCTGTGCCCCACAACGGGGAACAAGCTTGTCAACGAGGCTTGCAGCCAACTCCGCATGTGAATGATGTTCACTGGGGGATCCCAAATTTAGAAAGATGCCGTGTGAGATTTACTAGAGCCATTAGAACCCCCTCCGTTTGGTACAGATGGTGCCCCGGCGCCCGCCAACACCCCATTGCAGATGGTGGTTGAAAGGGACCAAAAGGAGTCCGACAATTTTGGGAGAGTCCATTGTTTTGGAAATATTCAAGATGAGAACTGCCTGCCTGACACTCTGTTGCTTGATGCGACCGTTCTCTGTTTCTAGCTGGGTGCTTCCGTGCTTGTTGCTTTTCTGGAGCTGCCTTCTTGGTGGCTTCAGCCATCCCTGGCTTGGGATGTCGGGCCTCTTCCAAATACGATTCTCTTGGCAGGCCTCGCATTTGCGGGTCTGGAGCCTGGAGGTCACCACAGCACTGCAGCTCACCTTCCACATCTAGAGCCCATTATCGGAGCACAGCCTGACGATACACTAGATCTTTCAGGTAGGACATAGGTTTCTCATGTTTGTCGTCCTGGAGTACCCGAAGTGGCCATATCCACTGTTGCACCAGAACCCCTTCCCTTTTCAAATGCATGCCCCCACCTCTTCTGAAGATTTCAGATAGTTGTTACCTTGTTCGATCATTCATCAATTTGATCGGGGGGGTTCCACTTCAGAGCTTGTCCGAATTTGATATCCTCCGAAGGGGGGGGGTCCTTTTGGTATCCCCACTCCTCCAAAATAGAATTTGGAGGAGGGTAGTTCCCCTCGGTGATTCCACGGTATTTGCTAGAATGCCAGGTATGGTTTCAAGTCAAAAAGGGGCAGACTTGGCAAGTGGAATTGGGGGACCCTTACACCCCTTTCCCCCTTAGATCTTTTGCCTTTTTCGAATCGCCCGGACCTTCTCAATTGCGGGCAACTTGGTAGATCCCATTTCGCAGTGATGCCTTTGGTGGCTCCCAGCCATCCCCTTAGCTTTTCAGCTTTTTAGGGTTTAGTGGAGGTGTCCATTTCACCCACTAAAACTTTAACTTTCAGATCAGAGGGCAGCCCATAGGGGCCATGTTTTCCCTTGGCACCGGGGAGGCGTTTTCCGTGCAATTCTCAGGTGCCCATCAACGCGTACCCGGTGACCTGGGCCTCCTTGGACGCGGAGCCCCCCGAGGGATGCGACGAGACGGAGACCCAGGGGGAGCGCGCCTTCGACCCCTTCGCCCCACGGCGGGAAGGGAACCTTCGCGTTTCTAGAAATGGGGGGTGGGGAGATGCCGAATGCTGGGGTTGCAGTTGATTTCCCGTTCACCCGCCAAAAAGGGGGTGACCCTATTGACCTTAAAACCCTGTGGAAAATGATCGGGGTGTGCCATTTGAAGTAAGGATCACGTTTGGGAGAAACACACGCACGTTGCGCACCACGTTGGTTCGGGGGTTGGCATATGGAAATCAGAGGGTATTGCATGGTATTGCGCTTAGGGTTTTGAGTATCTATAGCTCGCTAAGGGGATGCAACCCATAAACGAAAACGGTTGGTTAGGTTTGATGCTGGGGGATTTAGCAAATGTGGGACCTTGCGCTTGCAGCCCATGAAGATGGATCTCGACTTTCGTCCAGCAGAGTTCGGTTCAATGTTTTGAGGAAAGAACGGCTGCAGCTAGACCCACTCGCGTGTGGCGCGGACTCGCGATTGCATCAGCGCCGCCCACACCAAACACCAACGGTTCTAAATGTTGGCAGGCCTTGCTCAGCAGAACGCGAATCTACCTGTTGACCTAGAAATGTTGGCCGACAAAGCAGGGTTGTCCAAATGTTGATCATGTTTAATTATACCTGCTGAGTCGCAAGGTGCTGTTGGTCGAGTCTTTGTTTTGGCTTGTTAGCCAAATTGTCCAGAAAGGACTGGCCGTTTTGACGCACAGTAAGGCTTGCCGTCTCACTGTACGATCCCACATGCTCTCAACATGTTGCACCTCAACGCGGCTGGTTTCCCATAGTTCGAAATATTTGAATGCTGAGTACCGATAGGGCAGGGATTCATACCAGGGCTTCCCGCATTCATGGCTTAAGCTAGGTACTCATGGACGAGCAGATCAATAGCAAGAACCTGCGCTTGGAGCTTGCGGCCATCCAATGGCTGCTCGGCGTCAGCGGGGAAGCTGCCAGTTTTAGCTGGGCATGCCGCGTGGGATACCGCCCTGCCAGTTTGGCGAAGTTGTGAGAAACCAGGCGGTTTTTGTGCGGGCATGTGCGGGCCTGCTGAGTTTAGACTAAACCATCCGGACCCTGGTGCCTTTTGAAGTTGAGACAACGGTTTTCATGTTCAAGTCGGTTGCTTGAGCCTCGCATCGGCAAATGCCCGCGATCGAGGCAAGGGACGCCCCGGGGAGCAGCTTGGCCCATTGCTCGTCGAGCTTCGGCAACCTGTTTCCAGTGACAAATGCGTGTTCCCTCCAAAATTTGATGACCCCCACTAAAACTGGAGGATCACAAGCAGCCAGTTTTTTGTTTTGTTCTTTTAGCAAAAACTTTCGTCAACATTGGAAAAATGGGGTCAACATTGGAAAATGTTCAGAAGCTGCCGGCCAGGGCGACGTCACCCCTCGGGAGGCCGACGCCATTGGCTGCTGCGGGTTTCCCTACGCACGGCGGCGTTGCCACACGCCCGAGGCGGCGCAACGCCCCCCACCTTTCCCAAGCTGACCATTTGATGCGTGTGATTTTGGGAATTTGTTTGGTCAAGGTTCCAGAAGGTCAGCCCGGGTTTTGGTTCTTGGTCCTTTGGGAAAGCGAACTCGCACTACGTGCATGTTTTTTTTTTCTGCAGAGGTGGATGCTCTTTGCAACATGTCTGGCTTTGTGACAGGATGTGAGCAAAGATTATTCAATCAGCGCTTTCAGATTGGCGTCCATGACTTGTTGAAAGGCAGCTGACGGAGCTGGCTTCCAGACTAGGCGCTTGATTGGCACGAAGCTTAAACTCTACACCCACCAAGCTTAGAAACCAAGTAAGCAGCTCTGGCGAATTTTTAGGCGTTGACTAGGCTCAGCCGTTCGGGCAAAGGCGGGGAACTGACAAGTTTATGTTCTTTTCCGGACTCCCTCACCATTTGCCTCACATCACACGCTTTGGGATTCAAAAGAGGGAAGCGCAGCCAGAACTTGGCGAGCCGCGTTTCCTGCACGCTACCTTTGCGAAGCCAGAACTGTCTCTGCTCCGGCTTGCCTTGAGAGGCAACCACATGCAACCACCCGGCTATCTTCGTGTCTATAGTTAGGTGATGGGACATGATGGGGGAGAAGTGGAAGAGATGTCAGACTAGCTATACGTCTATAAGCCAATCAGACTTTGCAGAAGTTGCAAATTCTGCACAGCCACCATCTTCGCGTAATTACATGCACTTCATGGAAGAAATGGTTTACTTGCCCCGCAGCTTTTGCCTCCCCCGCTCCGATCCCTACGATCGGAACCCTTGCCAGGTGGACTTTGGGGCCAAAGCTGACACGCCCATGCTAGAGGATTAGGCCGAGAAAAGGCCGCCTAATACGCAACACCAGGTCCCCGAATGACTCGCAGACGAGAACCGGACTTCCCCAGGAAGACCCAAGCGGTGGAGTCTGTCCTTTGCAGTTGCCCTGAACTTCAAAGCTACCATGGCGCCAGTTGTACTTTTTTTTGCTTTCGGCTAGCCCTTGGAGGCATGGAGGCATCAGATGTTGCGGGGCTGCCAGAGCACTCAAGCACTCATCGCTGGGACCCTGAATCCAACAGCTTAACCCACCGTCACTGCTTGGAAGGTCACAGAATCACATGACATGTTTCATTAGGACAACCCCATCCTGTGAGTATTCCGATGCTATGCCTGCACCTTGATGATTGTCTTGCGATTAGGGAGGGCTATAGCCCGTTAGGTCAATCCTATTTCCTGCCCTCATCAACATTCGCCCATAAGAGTTGGATCACTTGCGGGCGCGGGACCCTTGCGCAGGACCTCGAAGAGGAGGGGCGGTTCTTTCCCGCGCGGGTGGAAAGGGGGCAAGCATGTTTCAGAGCTTTGGGTTCACTGGGGCAACCCAACAGACGGGGTGGGCGGCATGAAGGCGCCTCTTTCAAGTGGCGAGCTCCCTGGTGTTTTTTCCCAAACCCGGTGGTGCAATGGGATGCAATGGAAAGGGGAGGAATGACAGCAATGGGACACAAGCCCGAATGCAGCTGACTCGTCAAGCACCGTGATTTCAGACATGTTGAACCAGTGATTGATCCTTGCTGGGACCCGCAAAAAGGAAAAGCAATAGGTCACCGGCCACGTGCTGGTGCCCAATCATTTGCAAAGGAAAAGCGCATGCTTGCACACAGGCCGCCTTTTGTCTGATCGAGAATCGGCATTGTGAGGGCTGCCAGAAATGTTGAAGGTCCTGATTGATGAAGACCACATTTGGAGATGCAGATTCGCCCTACACACAGATCCAAGCACCCAGGCACAGGACAAACGAGACATACCTGCGCAAGCACATTTGCAGGACACATAGCGATCTTGGGGGGCGGTTAATGTGAGTGTTCGTTCACCGTAGAGAGATCTGACAGGCCTGCTCCGACTCCAAACCAAGCTGCCGTCACCAGGAGGATCTGCGGACTCAGGTGGAAGGCTTCCTGTCACAGCTACCGCCCTGACCTTTGCTGGGCGACCGGTTGAAGGCTTTCGGAGTTGCCAGGGTGTACCCCGAGCCCTTTGCCTGTTCTGGTTGGTTCCTTTCCGACGGAACATGGGATCAAAAGCGGTTGGGAGCACGTGAGCCGCCCGGAGCCCAGGCCCAAGGATGCCCGTGGGGGCCCCGGCTGCTTTGCTTGGGTCATGGTGCAAGTAAACCGAAGGCTTGCCGGACGTACCGGATGCAGGTGTCTTGCAGTACCAGCCGCATTCCAGAATTGTAACCAGAGCCGGCAAGGCATTTTGCTCTCGCTTGGAAAGACTGCGGGGAACCCTGCCCTGGGTCCTCGACTTGCCAAAGAATTGAAGTGCTGGCAACGCTTCAAAGAAGACATGCTTTAAACAGATGGCAGGGGCGGCTTTTTTTGAGGGACCCTTTCTGGGGTCGGTTAGGGGATCCAAAAGTTTTGGAGGGTTGACATGGAAACCACGAGGAAACTTGTTTTGGGCATGTCTTTTGTGGCAGCACACGGGTGGGTCTTTTCGGTTGTTGCCCTTGTTGGGGGGTAGGAACATGAAAGGGAAGCCGCAACATTTGGAGGCTTAACTTAGTTTCAAACGCCACCCTTTGTTTTAATTCTGGAGAAAGTTGGCTGGTCTGCCTACCAGCAGATCCGGCGAAGCTCGTGGGCGGAAGACTTCAAGAATAGAATAACTCTAGTCACTCTAAGCCTCCTTCTTCTTTGTTGTTCTGTTTCTCTCATGCTCGCTCTCTCTTTCTCTCTCTCTCTCTCTCTCTCTCTCTTTCTCTTTCCCTTTTCCCTTCCCAAAACTTTCTCTTTTCCCTTCCCTCTACAAAACTTAAAAGACAGATGTCTGGTCTACCTGCCCTGGCCTTGGGCTTCCCTTGCCTTCCCTCCGATCCCTTTCGCAGCCGCAGGCCAGGTCCTGGACCGGCTGCGGCGGCGCCTGGCGGCCGGGGAGCCCCTCAGCGCCCGCAAGGCGCTTCAACGCTCGCCCGCGCTCGCCCGCGTTGCTTCGCTTTCCTCCCGCATGGTTTTTGCCCCATGTTTCCTGTTTTTCCCCTGTTTTGTTTCCTTTTTGTTCCTTTGTTTTTCTTTCTTGGATCCGGTTAAACCTACTCCCTGAGTTTCCGGACTTTATACGCTTTGGGAAGACCATTTTAGTGGCAAATGGAAAGTTCAAACTTCTTGGGCCAATCCACTCAAAAAGTGAGTGTGTGGGCAGGGGGGTCCTCAAACCAGTGGTCCCCTAAAATGGCTGGTTTCCTGTTGGCTTCCCTTACCAAACCAAAAAAAAAACACCCCTCTTTTGGTTGGACACCGCCACATAAATTCCGGTGGCCTTTAGTGGTGATTGGGTGGTTTCAGGAGTCAAACCCCTGGTCCTGGTAGGGGGTAAAAACATCCACCAAACCCCCAATCCACGTTTCAGCGGTTTCTTCACAAAATATGTTTCGCTGGTTTGGTATCCTATCTCCTGGAAACCAAGCCAGGAACATCAACACGACCTGGTGTCCAGTATCAGCTGCCAGGGAGGCTTCCCGAGCTCAACTGGCAAACAAGAAGAGCGCAAGGGTGAATGCGCCAAGACGCGCTGAAGCCATCAAAATAACTTTGTGCGTGCGGTTTTGAGGTTCCATGTCCAGATTCAGTGTGGCACCCCGCCGAGACAACGAGGTGACAGCGGCATCTTCCGGGATAGCTGGAAGGGGGCGGGGCAACCTTGATCCACCTCCCTCTCCCTGGGTGGAAAACGGTGGCCGTGGAAGCTAGCATATGAGGCTTCCGGGGCGAGGTTTCTGGGCTACACAGATGAGCTTGGGCTAGGTATTTGATCTCAATATGCAAATATCTATCTCTATATATAAATAAATAAATAAATAAATATATATATATATATATTTTTTGTCGGTATTTGGCAGGTGTCCGAGGTGGGTTATGCAATAGGCACTTTTTTTGCGGAGTCTCTCCGTCATAATATTCATGGGATTTGGGAAGCCGGGAACTCTGCTGATCTGAAGCTGGCTGCAGATGCCTGGCTCCCTGCAGGTGGCAGACCACGTGGACGAGTCCTGCGAGTTCCTGGTGCGAGAGCTCAGTGCTGCATGCATGTCCTGCAAAAATGAAGCGGCTGACAAAGGGTTCTGTCTTGTGCTCCCATCCTTGATGGATGTCCCTCTATGACCTTTGGGATTGGTGCATTATGGCAAGCGGGTTTGTCACAATCACATATCCTACGTGTTGGAAACACCTATGTCATGCTGATCTTGAGTTTGCAAGCGTCAAAGCTGGTGAGTCAGGAGGTGGGAGAAGGTCTAATAAGCAAAACATCGCACCCACTCAAGAATGCAGAGCATGGTCTTACTTGTGCTTGGTTTCTTTTGAGTTGAACGAAACAGCTGTGATAGTTAGCCAATGCTGTGCAGCACGATGTCCAAGTGTCAACTTGTCAAGCACTCAGAGGATGGCCCACACATGTTGGTGTTTCCTTTTCTGCTAGCAATGCAAAGCTGGGCGTGGCGCAGTCGGGAGCAAAGTTCGAAGAGGTGGCGGATGAGAGGTTTCGCTTGCCGTCCTTTCGAACAAAAGGGCATATTTTTCCGATTTCGCACTTGTTCGCTTTGGCTTGCCTTAGCTGAAAAAGAGACGTTTTGCAGGTGGTTAGTTAGACAACCCCCGCAGAAATGCGCGACCCATCCTGGGAGAGCCACGGATGGGTCTGTATGGTCTAATGTGGCACAGATCTCCTTGGCTGGAGACTTGGGAGATGCGGCAGCTTCAAGGAGCCTCAAAGTTCCTTTGGCCGAGGATCTTGCTTGATGTTGCGCCCATGGTTGATGTTCCATGTGTTTCTTCCCAGGGGGCACCCACTGCAACTGGTGCCCGAACCTAGTGTTCCAACGCGAGGCAAACGCAACAGCTGCATCCGCACGTCTGCAAAGAAGGCCTCCGAGTCCGAGTTGCGAGTTGAACGCCCATGGGGTGATGGCCAACAGGGAAACCTGCGGAACCAAAACGCCCAAGATAGCCAAGGGACATGCGTCGATACCGCCCCAATGAAGGAAGCAGCCGGTCCATAAGTTTGCTTAGGGAGTTCATTCCAGTCAGCGCGACGAGTCGGTTCCTTTCGCATTTTCCACAAGGCCGAGCTTCTTGCCTTTTGCCGCAATGATGAGGTGGTAGCTGAGGCGCGGTTTTCGCTTTTGCGGCGCTTTGCGAGAGGTGTTTTGGGTGCTACACGGCTATGGGTGTTTGTCCAAATAGGGGCCTGTGAATCTGTCTGGTGTCGATTGGTTTGCCTTTGAGTCATCCCACACGGGATTTACCAACTTGGTTGTTCATGTTGATGAAAGTACATTCGCAAGATCCTACGGTTTGCTTGGTGTAGTGGCGTCCCACTACGGATTTCGGATCCTCTCCATTTTTAACAGTCAGGCAGGAAACCAAAAGGGAATGGGTACAATGTCAATTGTTGCGGACCACACAGGACCGCACGGACCCCAGCGTGTTCCTTCGGTTCTGGGTCGCAGTTTGGGCAGGGATTTAGTAGTTCCCGCTGTTTAGGTGACTCAAGCAAACCGCCACGCTCAAACGACGCAGACAGGTCAAATCCGCACCCGGATGGCACCTGGGGCTCGCAAGCGCGCGCGGCCAGACATTTAGCTGGAGCACATGGTTGAAGCAAAACGGTCCAGCTGGTAAACAATCAGGGCGAATGGGTATGAATAGGTCCAATTGTTTTTTTCTGTGGGGGAAGCTTTGTAAGCTTTCCCACTAATTAGTCGGCAACTGCGCCGCAGAATATGTAGGAACCAGACATGAGGAATTAGGCGAACAACAGAATCTTGTGGTTATGTGGACAAGTATGATGCCAAGGAAGTGAGGCCCAACCAAGGTCACTTTCTTGGAACCCTACAGTCACGGTCCCTAGACCACGTTCCTGAAACCAGTCAGGTTGAGACAGGATTGATCCAGTGGTGCCTGCACAAAAGGCGAGACTCGAGGATTGCTCTGAGCGAACAAGCCGAGCGAATCCCAAGGCCCAAAGTTTCGGTTCGGGGTCTTTGGAGCAAGCCGGACTTCATAGCGCATTTTGCTTTTCTTTGCCTGGAACGGGAGTGCTTGTCACATCTTGTCACTCACCCAGAAGGGGCTACCTTTTCCTGGGACGAAGCACCCAGCAAGATTTGAGTTGGGGCCCAAGCGGCATCAGGTATTGCACCGTGTCGGGGAGGAGGAGGCAGAGGAGGCACAAACGCACATGGGCGGGGTTGATTTGCGCACTAAGACATACGAAAAGCTCGTACTTTCGGTTTTCCTGATGGAATGGTGTGAAAAACATGAATGTGCAGGAGTGCCACGACAGCATCTTGCAGCTGTCAAGGGTTGGCCGGTTTGCGCAATCGACCCTACCCCTTCTTGGTAGCATGTGGGCTGGCGCGGTGGTCCGAGCTTTGTCAAACCATTTTTTGGAACATGATCAGTTCGTGGATGAGACGTGGGTGTTGGTGTTTTGTTTGTTTGCTTGCTTGCTTGTTTGTTTGTTCGCTTGCTTGCTTGCTTTGTTTGTTTGTTTGTTTCTGTCAAATATACACTTTTCCCCATGACTATGTCATGATACAACTGCCACTTTGGTGGCTCAAGCTTGCGCCAAAGAAAAGGTGCTGCACCACTTCACATACTTCGGTTTGTGTTTGGTGAGGCTTTAGAGTCCTGGGAGTTTTTCATGGTAGCGGAGCTCTGGAACTTTCCAGAGCGTCCGAAGAACTTTGGGGTTTGAGCCATGGACATAGGCGCACTTGGAGACGACACTGGGGACATGGCTGGCAGAATTAGGTTGCCAATGCCATCCACTTAGAATGGTTCGCCATCAGGGTGGGAAGAGTGGTCCTGGAGCTTCAAAAGCATACATTTCAATGTTTGAGACTTCTGCAATTGGGGTACTTGACAGGGATGAAGGAAGAGCTGAGCCAATTCAGGATGAAGACTTGGCAATCACTTTGGACACTTGTGATCCAGATGAGGAAGCATCGAGAAAGGCGGTGGCTTTCAGCCGAAACCTGCACTACTTGCTAGCGAACCTCACTACAGACGCTGCGAGACTTATAGTGAGGCAGAACACTGACGGTAACGGCTTTGGGACTTGGAGGCGGCTTTACCAGAAGTTTGCACTGCCAGATGCCACAAGGCATGTCTCACTTTTAACTCAGCTCCTAGACTTCAATTTTAACCCAGCAACTTTTGAAGCCTTAACAACTGAAAAACCATTAAAGTCAAGTATGAGCGACAGACTGGAACCGAACTTCCCGACAGCGTGTTAGTGGCGACTTTGCTGAACAAGACCACTGGAGCTTTGCAGCAGCACTTGCGACCCAATGCAAGGTCACTTACTACCTAAGCGCAAATCAAAGACGTCATAGTGGAGTACTTTCGTTCGCGACACATCCTCACTTCGAAGAACAACAGCGGCCCAGCACCAATGGACATTGGAGCACTTTGGAGGAAAGACAAAGGCAAAGGTAGCTCACTTTGGCACAAAGGCAACGGAAAAGGACTTTCAGGTAAGGCCAAAGGTACAGGAAAGGGATTCCACTGCAACTTTCACGCAAAGGCAAAAGGCAAGACAGTCAAAGGAAAGGACTTTGAGAAAGGAAAAGGCAAAGAGAAAGGCAAAGGTAAGAACTTAGGTTCCCAACTTTGCTGGACTTGTGGTAGACCAGGTCACTTGTCTAACGCTTGTCGCAACAGGAGAGTGAACGCACTTGAAGAAACAGAGGCGCTTCAGGATTCGTCCTGGTTGGCAGAGGAATCGGAGAACTTTGTGTACTTTGACGACAACGTGTACGAGGACCCTTGGGTTGCTTGGGACATTTGGAGCGTGAAAGCACTTTGGTGAGATGATGCTTGGCGGAATGATGCTTGGACTTTGGAGTCGGGCTTGGGGTTGGTCACAGCCCGAGGCTACTCCCACTTTGGACAGTAGTGATGCAGCAAAGAACTTGACGAAGAAACCTTCAGGAGCAGATGCTTCGGCTTCTGGCTCAATGGAAGTTGCTGCAGTCACTGCGGGCCCGCCGGGACTTTGCCATTATGCTCGGAAACTTTGGCGCAGGGAGTTCACTTGGACTTGGGCTTGGAAGTGTCAAGACGGATGACATGATGACTGGCTTGGTCGACTTTGACTTGAAAGGTTGCTCGCTGCTTGGTTTGCTTGGTAGTACTTGTTGGCATGGCAACTTGTTGAACACGTTGGTTGGCTTGCCAGTTGCGTCACTGGAAACTTTCGCACTTGATGGACCGACAGTTTCACGACATGTCACCTTGAAAAAGGTTGAAGACTTGAACTTGAGTATCTACACGGAGTTGTACGATGCGTACTTGCAAGAACAACTTGCATCAGCAGTGTGGCAGGACACAGAGCCCTGGATACTTTTTGATTCAGGAGCAGCTGCCCACTGTTGTCCAAAGGACTTTGCTTCAGACTTCTCTTGCCACTTACTGGGCGCGCATTAAATCCATTTCGGGTCAACAACTTTTGCACAGTTTGAGCTTGATGGTTGTACCTGTTGGTTGCACTTCTATGTCTGTGACATTTTATATGCTGTGTGCTCCGTAGCTCGGCTTTTGATGCAAGGCTACGGTGCTGAACTTGGTAAGGAACACACTTACTTATATAGTGGCACCAGGAGGCACGAAGATGGGAGTCACGCAACATGGTTCACTTTTGTTTCTTCGACCTAAGGTTTTGGACTTCAACAGATTGAAGAGGTGTGTAACACTTTTCACGGCCAGTGCTCTGGAAATGTAGCTCCGAAGCACTTGGTTGCACCAACTTTCATCCTGTCTATTACCACACTGATAGATGTGTAACTGAGGGGAACACTTTGGTGAGAATACACAAGCGGGCACGTAAGACTTTGTTCAAGGCACTAAAGACCGCCCGATTGCCGTAACTGACTTGGCTGGAGAGCGAGTCACACACTTGGAGTAGTATGAAGACGGCACCAAGGCAGAACTTGTTGACAATTGGCAGACGGCTGAAGACCCGTATGCCAAACTTGACAAGCCTTTTGTTCAAACTTGCGTCTACGTCAACTGGAGTGAGACTTACACACAAACAGTCCACTTTGCCGGTACCAAAGGCTGCACCGAAGCCTGAGCCTCGTCCAGTTCCGAGAGTGGAGGGACCTTCAGCGGTGCTACAGCCATCGGCGCAACTTGCACCTGCAAAGGTTCAAAACGCTTCCGTAACCACTTGCACCAGGCTGCTGGAGGCACTTTGGAGGCCCACCAGACCACAATCCTGGAGCAACTTCGTCAAGTTGACCCACTTACGACCCAACCTTATAACCATGACGTGAACTTCCACTTGTTTGGCTACGAATCCACTATGTTCCACGGAACACTTTGTTTGTTCCAGAAGACGAAGAATTCGTGAGAGGGCTTGCTGACGGACGTTTGACGTTGAGGGCTGAAGTTGACGGAAATGCAACTTGGTTGGAGGACACTTGGCGTGCAGCAGGCACTCAGCCTGTTGACTTGCGTTCACTGGTGGCACGCTGTTGGAGAAACCTGACTCTCCACTTGAAGCAGGACCTGAAAACGCTGGTGACTTGCTGGCGCAACGGCCTCGAGGACTTCCTGTTCCAACAGGGCCGACTGACTTGGAACGCCAGGAACACAGCTTGACGCACTTGCCTTTCGATCATGGTGTCCCGTGTGCGTTTAGGCCAAATCCCGGCAAAACCAGTCGCGGACTTTGTCCTTGAAACAGCCTGTAGTCCAACTTGGCTTCTCGCTCTTGTCAGACCAGGCCGGAGGCCCGCAGATCACTTTGCTTAATGCGCTTGATGTGTTGTCTGGATAAGGACTTGCCGTGGTAATCCTGACAAAGGGTCGTAGCACTTACACTCAGGCTGAACTTCGACGTTTCATCCTTGAGATTGGACGCACTTTTGGAGTGCCAGTGCGACCCAGAGCCAGCGCCCAAGGCACTTGCTGAGACAGTGACTTCTGAGCTTGGTGGCTTGACCATGCGCACTTCACCCGCAGGATGGAAGCAGGCCCAAGGCTCCATCGGGAATGCGCAGGCCACTTTGTATGCTCAGGCTCGCGCTCTATGCTTGAATTGAAGTCAAGGTACAAGCATGACCCCCTGTATACTTGGCTCATCAAGCATGCTCAATGGCTGTTGCACCGCTACTTGGTCAAAAGTGACGGCCGCATTCCATATGAAAAGCGAGGGGGTCGGAAGTTCACTTCAGCCGTTTGCAGCTTCGGAGAGACGTGCGCTTTTCAGGAAGCCTGGGCTTGCAAAGTCACAGCCCCAACTTTCCTTGCATATGGCTAGGCATGTGCACGCAGAGCGGAATGCACTTCTGCGCTGACGGCTCCGGCGTGTGTAAGGCACGCGCGGTGAGGCGACTTTCGCCTTCGCTTCAGGTTGACGTGGAACTTCTGAAAGAGACCTTGGGACCCGAGTGGAACTTCGGTTGAGACAGATCGCTTTGTACTTCTTCAACCAGAGTAACCTCTAGGACTTTCGTCCGAGGGGGCGAAACTCAGCCCGCTGAGCCCGACTTGGCGCAAGATGACCCTGGATCCGAACTTCAATCTGAACGTGTTGATGGCTCCGGAGACTTGACTGCAGAAGCAGCGTCATCTGGAGTACGGCGACCACTTGAGAATCCGGACGAGGGGATTCTTGCGTCTCCTCGACCTCCGCGTCGGAGACTTGATCCTGATTCTTCGTCGGAGCACAAGCGTACTTCAGTCGAAGAAGCAGACACCGAACAAGGTAGCAAGACCCAGCGTGTGTCGGCGCTTACGCACCCTGAACTTGCTGACCAACGGATGATGCTCTACGACTTTCGGATCTCAGCTGTCACCACAACGGACTTGCTCGAAGTGCCTGCTGTGGTGAACCAGGATGAGTCCGAACTTTTGCTAATGAAGAAACTTGAAAATCCGTACTTGTGGTATGACAAGGAGTTTGAACGTGACTTGGAGATTGCAGGAATGAAGCGAGAGATGCGCCCGATGTTGACGTGTTCTATGAAGAGCGTGTCGATCAACTTACCCAAGAGCAGCTTGACAACGCCATTTCCACGAAATGGGTCAAGACTGGCAAACCGGACGGCAGCGTCCTTTGCAGACTTGCCGTTCGCGGGTTTGATCAGAAAGTTGACGACTTGGATGACACGTTTGCAAGCACGCCTTCACTTGTAACGTTGAGAGTGTTGTTGACAC